CCAGCGACAGGACAAGAGGCAATGGGCAGAAACTGAACCACAGGAAGCTCTGTGTGAACGTGAGGAAAAACTTCTTTCCTGTGAGGGTGACAGAGCACTGGCACAGGTTGCCCGGAGAGGTAGTGGGGTCTCCTTTGCTGGACATATTCAAAACCTGCCTGGATGTGATCCTGGGCAATATGCTCTAGAGGACCCTGGTTGAGCAGGGGGGTTGGACTAGATGATCTCCAGAGGTCCCTTCCAACCTCAACTGTTCTGTGATTCTGAGATTGTTTTCCAACAGGCTTTCAGACTGAGGAGAATGGAATAGTGTATAAAAATAGAGGTTCGGGCTCTTGCCAGGTATAATTTGGGTTTCCTTTGATCACAAGTGTCTTTTCTCAGGAGTTGCCAGAGGTAGTTCAGGTTGTTCAGGGTCTTTTAGCCTCATCAATGGATTCCTTTAGCCCTGAGCTGTGAGTGCTGGAGTGAGTCGAGGCTCTCAGCCTTCCTCACTGCCGAGTGCTGACAGGACTTGCTGACATTCAGGGATGCACCCCAGGCTGGCAGAGGGGGACATGTGGGTGGGTTTTATGTTGTTGGTGGAAAGGGTCTTGAATTGGGGAGGTAAGGCTTTTCCCTAGCTCAGGGCTGGGCAAGCAGACTCCCTCTAGGCATTAGGACACAAAGCAAGGGAACCTATAAAAGAGTATGACTTACGTCCAGAAGTCTGGAGATGGGGGAAGCCACCCTGCTTTAAGGAGGCATTCAGGCAATCCAGGTATTGGGGAGGACAGGGGGATGCTTGCCACTTTGACTAGTGCCTCCACCTGTGAGTTTAAAAATACCCCGGGGGAGCAGTGAGGAAGGCCAGGGGCGTAGGCTCACTCCAGCACTCACATGCCTGTGCTAAGACCTGCTAACAGAGGCTGATAGAAGGCAGGTGGTGTCCTCACATATGCCAGGGGGATGGAGTGTACATGGCAATTTAGTGCAGGCAAGCAGGCTTGGTCTGAGTGTTGGCAGGCATGTGTGAGATCAGCACCATACCTTGCACAGACTTATGGAAAAATCTGGCCTGGCGACCCTTGGGGAGTCCTAGTTCAAACCAGGCTCAGAGCAGGGTGGACCTCATAGTTAGGTCGGGTTACTCAGGACCACATCCAGTCAAGTTTTGAAAATCTCCAGAAAGATTTATAGTCTCCAGGGAGAGCCAAAACAGGCTGAGGTGCTCCCAAAACATCCTAAGAGCCTGCAGGTTGCATTCAGGCAGAGTGTTGCAGGCGCAGGCTCCCAGTGTGGCTGCCTATGAGCATGCTCCAGAAGAGGGGCATCCTTGTGTGCCAGGACTCCATCGCAGCCAAGCTAGAGTTAGAGAGGAGATATTCCACAGTCAGGATCTTCCACTTTGGATCTCCTAATTTCATTGCATCTATTTTTAATCTTTTATTTTCTTATTTTATTTTCTTCTGGCTTCTGTGTTTATACAGTGATGGAAGAGTATTGACATAGTTGGTGTTACTTAAAAAGTAGTTAAAGAATTAGATGAGCACTATACATCCTATAATAAACATATGCACTGTTGTGTGGCCAAATCGGTGTAATAATCTTTGGCCTTTTTCATTCCATGTAACCATAAGACTTTCCTAATAGGTCTTTCTCAGCCAGTTGGCTTGCCCATACTTTTCCTACCATACTCCACAAGCATTACAAGCACCTCAGGCGTGACTAGCCGACAGAAATACTCTTGTGTGCTCACTGAAATTTAAGCAGTACTCTCAAAATGTAAGTCACAGCTTGTAAGCCAGATTCCAAAATATACAAAGGTCCGTCTGCTCTGAGTGAATTTGAATTCACATGCTGACCCAACCGTTGTGACTCCAGCCAAATCTAATTAAATTCTGGACCACAAAATTCTCTGTAAGCCCAGAGAGGCAATGAAACCTAAAGGTTTTAATTCTTCTCTCACTACACTATCAGGCATCACAGTGCATCTTGTAAAATCAGCTGCTGTTTTTACATATACCCAAAGGCAAAATCAAGCCTTTCATAGTTAATTAAATTCATTTTAGAGGCTTCTTAATACAAGTAATATATGCAGCTTCTTTGTACTGCAAAATGAAAAGAATGCATTTTGTTGCTCTCTGGGTGGGTCTCTGCTAATTAGGCTTTACCAATTTGATTAGGGTCTTTGTTTTTTTTCCTCCTTTAATCTTCTTTAATGCCAGGTTCTATTGTGGGGTTATTTTTGGTCTTGCTTATGCAGAGACTGATATCTACACAGAAACTTGAAATTATATTTCTTGCCCTACAATTTTGCTTTTCCTCCACTTGTTAAACAGCCTTTTTCATGGTCTTTGAAAGGAGATTAGTATGTTCCTTTCATTTGTGTAAATGCTGGTTCATCAACCTCAGTGAGAAAATTAGTATAGCTCTGCAAATAGTATTTGGTAGGCTAATTGCTGCTTGAACACCATAACTAAAGTTAGGTTCATAAATCCAAATTTAAGAAACAAAAATAGAGGCATCTGAGTTTTCAAAGTCTCCTACCAGTGCTCCCATTGAACTAGTGAGCAGATGTTAAACACATCTGAAAATCATGTAACTTTTCTTTAGCTGCCCAAGAGAGGATTCGAGACACTAGTTTAGATAGGTAGATTTGCAACTTTTGACCTTTGGCTTTCATTTCCCTCACCAGAATGACAGCTTTTGTCTTAGCAAAACAAACGAGTATGTAT